CAAAAATTAAAATGTATGAGCAGAAAATTATAGGACTTTTTATCTTACTCTCATTATTTTAATTTTCATTTGCCCCTGATACTATAGATACAAATATCTTGCTTAACAAACGTCACATGGGGGATTTAAAACTAAATGGTCTGAAACAGGAAAAGGAGTTAAGTAAGTCCATAATGGCACCCAGAGATCTGCCAAAATAGTTTTTAAACTGTTCCTGACCAAGCTATAAAAGTACATGGCTAACTATACTTACCAGCGCGCAGGCAATCATACCATCAGCTCGCTAATATATCTTTCATTTTAAGGCCACCAGCAGTCAAGCAGAAGATTCAGCCTGGGTTGTTCCATAAATAGTTATTAGCCACAGCACTGAGCAGAGCGAGGGAAGAATGTTAATGTCCAGGAATGAGTTTGTGTTGCAATGAAGAAGCAGTAACATAAATTAAGACTATACACTGTTTTGTCCTTTATACACTGAGAGATCATCCTCTGGCTCATAAGGAAAACACTGCTAACTCCCGGTAAATCTCTCAAGACACTCTTGCTTTCCACCTTGCCTTACTGGTCCGAGACCAAGACTTTTCAGGTGAGTTTAACATAAAAATTCAGCATACAAAAAAAGAAAGTTATAAACATGCATGATGCAAGTTGGGAGAGCTGTCTGGAAGTTATACAGTCATCTACTGAATTCACAGGAAAACAGTTCATCACATAAACCTTTACGAACAAAAACTTTATAGTTTAGAGTGAGTCAGCACAGCATACAATTCATGGTGGCTTCTTTTCTTAGGCATAAAGTGTGAAAGGCTTTCTAAACCTCTTTTCTTCCTTCTGAAACTGAAGCACTGTTGTAGCACATGTGAAATAGGTTTCCTAATCTACAACATTGGTACAGAAAAGACTTGCTGATAAAAGAGGACTGTATAACACTGAGTGAGATGGCAAGTAATGAATTTGCTGAACTATTTAACAGAGAACAAGGTTTTCTATGTGTCTCATTGCTGAATTTTCAATCATGATTAACTTAAGTAGAACTGGTGAAATAATAAGCAAAAGTAAACCCCATGAACTCCTTTGTACAGAAAAATCACACTTTGCCCCAACCCTATGAAAAGTGACAGTGAGACTAAGCTGCAGTGACTGAATTCACCAAAGATCAAAGTGAAAATAAGAAGCATGTATCTTGCAGTGTTAAAGTGTGGGTTTCTTCACAATAATTTGCAAAGATAGGCCAAATGTTACTGGTCTTAAAAAAAATGCATCCAGTCTGCCAACTAAGCTCTGCTGAGCAGCAGCAGATAGGGCAGGATCCTCAAGCTCACAGCAGCTACCTTCAGGAGCTTATTTTAGCTCTAGTGAACCTTTCAGAGTACATACTATACACTGGAGCATATATCAGTGGAACCATTGACAGCTGTACACAGCACCCCTACTTCCAAACAAGGAAATAAAAAGGACAACCAGCAAGGCTTATCTTCACCTTCAACCAGAGATACATACCTTACAATTAGCATGCTTGTGCTACACAGAGTGGGATGAAAACAACAAAGCACACCAAACATAACTCTGTTCTCAGAAGAGTGCTGCTCCAGCAGCACCATCATTTCCAGGCTCCAGCAAGTCCATTGCCAAAAGCAGACCAAAATGTTGTCCCCCAGTCTGTCACCTAGGCACAGTTCTGGGAAACCACACATGCCAAAGCCTAAGAAAGACTGTGCAGGAAGCCAAACTGTGTCTTTTCTGAGGAAGAGTTACTGGCACACTGAAGTAACATAGAAATCTATGCATGCATCCTTTATATGCAAAGAAACCAGTAAAGATCTTTGCTACCTGTCCAAACCTGCACCCTTTTATGTACATCGTCTTCAGCCATGCAGAGAAAGTTCAGAAATTATCCTTGAGTGATGAAAAAACCCCACAATTCACAAGCCTTCCATGAACCCAATGAGAAGCAGTACTCTGCAGTGGTTACTGCACTAGGACTCAGTCAAATCAAAATCTGTATTTGACTTTCCTACAGAGAGATGGTGGAATCTTGACTACCCAATTCCTCACTAATTTCTGAAAACAGAGGGTATGGATGCAACTATACATTGAAATGTGTAAGAGCTGAGTGTTACAGTTATTTGCTTGTGCAATGCTATTCTTAAGTGCTATTAATTCTGTAACTCCATAATAATAATTCAGTATTTCCATAATTTCATAATCATGTAACTTCATAAGCACTGACTTTCATTAACACTGCATGGAATTATATTCAGTGTCAGTGTGTGAAAGTCTCACAAGAACCATAAATTACTGTAACTTATAGGTCATGACAGAAGAGAAGAATGTGTTGGTGATGTCTTCTAAATGATAATTCTGCAACTTTTTCTTACTGCAACCAATATCCAGCATCACTTGCCAGTTGTTTGAGTGCTATGTTTCTCAAATAAAACCTACACCAAAACATCCTCATCAAGTGAATATTCGTTAGTGTAAAGTATCCTGTATTGTCTGTCAGAGAATTATCTACTAGACTTTGTGACTTTTCGATTATGTATTTAACCATATACTAATGTATTTAATGAATAAGCAAAAAATTAAGATATTGCACAGCATTTTAATATCAGCTGTCACATAAATTATGATTGCTCTGCTCTACAAGCACAAACAATCCTGAGCTGAATATTTCTTCAAGACAAGGTCAGCTGAAGAAAAGCCTCCTTTAGGAAAAAAGGTGGATAATGCCCCCTTTCATCCACTTCTGAAACTTCAGTCACCTTGTAGCTTGCATGGCACAAGAAAACACTCCTGAGAAAGGGTGCTGTAACATAAGAAATGAACACCAGGATTCTTGGAATTGTTTAAAAGTGAAATAAAAATGTAGATATTGGATTCCTCAAAGCCACAATTTTCAACTTTGGGCTGGTCAAAAGCCCGCTAAAATTAATCTGAATTTACTGATTTGCTTTAAAATCTGCCTTTCATTGCGCATGTAATATGAGCATAACCACATTTTTGATTCAATGAGATACGCCCCATTTCTCTTACCAGTTCCAGGAGAGGATCAGAGATATTACATGATGAATATGCTGCACTTAGCTGTAATTTTATTGTACCTCCATTCCTGCTGCTTTGTGGAATGTGCAAAGAAGCTGGTTTCCATGATGATAACAATCCAAAATGGTAGGAAATAGAATTTAAACAACTATTACTAATTTAATGTATATTCATAGGGCTATTGTTTCTATCCAGTTCCTTGAATATTCTGGTTCAGCAGACACCCCTAACTTCTGTTAACCCCTATCAGTCTGCTTTTTCAGCAACCCAACAGAGGACATCACCACTGATATAAGTGGGTCAATGTCACATAATAGCTCTGGGACTGCACACTCTACAGATTTAGTGTACGACTCTGTATGTGTTACTGGGTTTTTACCAAAAAAGACATTGATCACCATGACAGACACAAAGCAGCACTATTCACACTCCCTGAACTGAGACATCAAATGGACCCATTGCTAATTAGGATGATGACAGCCAAGAATTAAATTTCAAAGCCTCTGTTTATTCCCACTTCTTAACATTATTCTTCTTTGTCCCATCCTTTTCCTTCTCACAAATACGGTAGTAAAACTTGAGGCAGTCTCTTCTGTGATTCTGCTGAACAGTTTTTGTTAACAGACACACAATAACAATGATAAACGAGATAGAAGAAAGTGGTCATTAAGCTATTAGAAACTGAATGTACACCGTCTGAGCACACCCAGCATTTATCTAGCTTGAGCTTGCTTTCCTAAGCCAGGAATATAAAATGATACAGAGCAGAAAATGTAAATCATCAATGATGTAATAGTGACCTGTGCAATACCTTGGAAGAGCTTAAGCATACATTAACATTTTCTTTACAAAAAAACCCATTGTCCTATCCTGACATATGAATGCTTGCTTACTTTCTTCAGGGCTCTCCAGAACGCATTAACCCTCTGTATTCCTCAAAACTACATTGGCCCTCATGTCTCTGAAAAGAGGCAGCAATGTTTTCCTGCAGCTGGCTGTGCAGCCAGTAGGTTTTGACTCATGGGGGATGGGACTGAATACTAAGAAATGCATGGTGGTTTTAAGTTTTAATTTTTAAACAGCTCATAAGAAGCACTCAGCTACACTACCAGTGAATTCCTGCTGGTCTTGGTAGAGGGAAAATGTAAATAAGGGAAAAAGCAAAAAACTTGTGCTTACAGAGTCATTTGTCATGGGAACCTTGTAAAATCTTGTGGAAGGAATGCACCTAGCAACAAATAAAAGTACTCTGACTGATTCATCTTTGGCTTGCCGGAAGAGGCACGAAAATGATGAGGAACTTGACAAATCCATACCCAGTTGCAGACACAGAGACCAAGCAACATGGGAGAGCTTGTTGGGAGATTTGAAAACCCAAGAAGAGCAGATGTGGGCAGAGCTGCCCTCAAAACCTGATGGTATCGAGAGGCAATGAGCGAATCCAGAGAAACAGCTGAGGTGAAACTCTTTCCAGAGATAATGCTTTGCCTGTCTCCTTAAGGAGATTAATGAGCTGACAGGTGGTGACGATTAGCTTTTTAAAAAAGGCCTTGTTGGGGAAAATTTGGAATGTTAATTTCTTTCCTGTTTTCTGAAGCTTGAGGTCTGTGTGTTTGTCAAGTCATGCTTTGAAATGATCTTTTATCAAAAGTGGTTATGGTTTGCTTTCTTTAGACAAAACATTTTGATAACATGCTTTGAATATGTTCCAATAACCATTTCAGAACAAACTATCACTGACATTTCCAGGAGGTAAAGTGTTGGAAAAGCCCAGCTTTTCCCACAAGTATTGTTTTGCTCTGAAAGAAGCCCATGCTGAAATGAAAAAAATTCTTATCAAGCTTCAAAACTCTCATCTGATGATTCTGAGGGTTCACTATTATGTGAGATGGTGATTCATTAGTAAAAGAAAGATCTACTCAAACAGAAGGGTATCCCAGAGTCTGTGACTTTCTTACCTTGGTTAAATGTTCACAGGGGAAACTTGGAGCAGAAAAGTAACCTCTTCAGTCTTTTTGACCAAAGACAGCATCTGTGTAGAAATAAGCAGCTTGTTAGTATGCATACCCTATCATCTTCTTAGAACAGGTAATTTGCACTCATTTCTCCTTATGCTGGAATGGGCCTTTTTACCTGCCTACATTTTGCACCTTTGTTTTACTTTCTTTCAGTGTCTCAGTACCCAGCTACATCTATAATTTCATTGATGTTATTTTTACAAGTCAATACTGAATTAACTGCAGGCTGACAAAGAGACATAACAGAAGAAAAATTCTCTGCCTTAAGTTAACTTAATATGCAATCACAATATAGTGAGAAAGAAACAGTGCTTTACAATTAAAACATTCAACTAGTTAAAATAACAATGCATACATTTCTGCAAGAAGAAACCAAACCCCTTCACAGGTAATCTTGGATTCAAGTTACTAATGCCTCTCAGATAAGTGAGAATATCCACTGGCAGGGCATCAATAACAAGGGAAGTTCAGTTTTAAAAGAGCCACAAGAAAAAAACCCATGAATAGCTCTTAATGCTTCTGATAGCAATGAAACAGCCACTTAAATGAAAAATGAAAATTTAAAAAACAAATGGAGTGTAACTTTGAGCAAGGATTTGTTTTTCAAAGGCATTCATCTATGTTATACGACTGGTAGACTTGAGTCCCTGTAGTGCAACAAGTTCATATTCAAGCTCAGAGTTTAGGGAGTACATGATGTTTTGATTGGAAACTGGATATAAGGAGACTCCTTCAAACAATAACCAAAATAAAGACATTGACATGAAGAATTCAGCTGTGGTTTCACATGTAGCCCAGGCAGTCTGGCAGCTCACTGACCAAGGCAGGGCTGCTGCTCTCCTTCCCCCACATTTAGCTGCTTTTGCCTCAGCACCAGCCTTGCCCCATCCCAGGCTGCCCCACTGCTTCTTCCCTCCACTGCCATGCATCAGATGACAGAAAACAACAAAAGGTTTCTACTTCTTATTTTCCTTTTTTTTTTTGGCCAGTTTAGCGAGCTAAATCAGGTAACAGAGAAACCCAGCAAGTAGAAGGGGAGCACTGGAAGCACATGGCACGGGGGAGGTACTGGGGAAGGAGCTCCTCCTCCCTAGGTCAACACCAAGCTTTGTTCACTGAGGTCAATAGGGAGGGGCCCACTGACTCCAACAGGCACTTGATTGGTCCCACATTTGGAAGGAAAAGGAGAACAGATTCATATGTGAAGCCCATCTTCATTCTGCATGTGCTAGTGCACACCTATGCAGGTAAACTGTACTCAGCGCCCAGTCTCCTCTTTGGTTGTACACTGTATGCCTCTGTTAGGGAGCAACACAGCTTTTAACAAATTTGCCATAAGGAATAATCTATGAAAACTCTCAAGCCTTGCATCCTCCTCTTGCCCACAATACTACTTACCTAGAAGACCGATCCTATGACTCTTTTGTCTCATTCCCTCTTTGCCCACATGGCCAGGTAAGAACCATGGGGTAGGAGCTTGGCCACTTCAATTTAGGCCAGTGCACCCCCACCCAAACCAGGGCACATTCTTCATTTCACGGAGAATTTCAAGCTGCAGAAGGTTAATTATGAACAGTGGCAAGGTGAGAATGAACAGCGGTGGCACCTGTCAAGCCATGAGCTGCACTGGATTTATAAACACGTTCTGTACTCAATTAATGCTCTTGCCTTTGGCACGCAGAACAAGTTTGCTCAAGAGTAGAAAAAGACTGAGTAATACAAAGCTGCACACTGCAGCACTTTATTCATTTTTTCATGTTGAACTGAGGACCTAATTAGTTATGTTAGTGTAGAACTAATAGCACATTTATTATAATGGCTGTTTCTTTCCTAAACGTTTTATGTAAAGCTCACAAGTCTGGTATCTGAGTATGCAAAATAAAGCAAGAAATGCTTTCTCTGCTCTTGAAAAATCTTAGTCTAATTAGGTGGTTCATTTTTCTGCCAGATGTTAAACTGGAAAGAGTTTCTCTTGGTTAAAGATACCAGAAATATCAATTCTTCTGGTTTAAAAGATGCTCAGGAACAAATCTATTGTAACCACTGATTTGTAACACTAAAGTAGCAGTGAACATACTTTGGTTAGATGCTCTATAGTTATCTGTAAACCTGGGGATACACTAAATATGGTCCAAATGTGCCAATTGGTTTAAATAATCATGAGGTTGGCAATGGGGAAACTACCAACAGTGTGATGTATGTTAATTACATCAGTAATCACATAATGTAGACCCCAGTTTTCAAGGCCTCTTTTCCTTATTTTAATTTATACAGCATTTATACCACCAAGACAGTAACTAACAAAACCAGCTGCCCTTCCTGCTTGCTCTTCAGAAGATTTATACAAACTTTTTTGCTTGTAAGAAAATTCCTGCCTGTGGCAACCCTTTTACCCCAGCCTTCACAGCTCCCTGCAGGAGGGAGGAAGGGAGGGCAAAGATATGACAATGGATGCAAAGCAATTGCCTAGCCCAAAGTTGCTGCATGGCCACAGTTAACTCTAATAATGGATTTGTCCAAAGACTTCCAGTAACATGCTGGTATTATTACAGCAAGAGAACACACCGCTGTAGATCATGCAACACTCAACGTATATTAACATTAACTTCACACACACACCTCCACATGCCCCTCTTTGCATATGGCTATGAAAAGCCTAGACGGGATGAAGTGCTTCAAGCAGTGAAAGAGCCTAGCTGAACAAAGAAGAGAGTCTACACACTAGCCACCATTTGATTGCTTGACCTCCTAATTGTTTTTTTTAAATCACATTGCTGATGTTATCTGAGCATACCTGGAGTGCAAGCAGCAAGCACAGCTCCTGCATCCAAGACAGATTTACAGCTGAAGAGATCAAAAACCAACAACCAGATGAAAATTAATGGTTGACAACTTCTAAAAAGTGAGTTAAAGGCTCTTTGAGAAACAGAAAGGAAGCACAAACACACACTGTAACAATTGAGGCCAGGAAAAAGAAACCTAGAGAAGAGAAAGAAACCTAGAGAAGAGAAAGAATCCTAGAGTCTCTGTGCTCTGCTTAGGTGCCCTAACAAACAGCTGCCTCAGTTTAAAGCACATAATCCCTCCTTCATGCACGGACTGCAACCCAGAACTGTCTCCCCGCGTGCACTTATGTTTGCCCAGCAGAATGCCCCAGACACTTGGTGTCGAGTCACACAGACTTACAACATTATCCCCCACTCAGTGCAATATGATTTATTTTACGTTATGTAGCACAGTTTCATAAGAAAGGGGCTGTGAGTCCCCCTCCCCATGCTGTGCCCCAGCACCCCCTTTTCCCCGTGGCTACAGCTTCATTTGGCTTTGAGGCATGCTGGTTTCCTTCCTGAAAGCAAAATGCTCCTGTGAACACGCAACACGATAGGCATGCTTAAAAACACCTCCCAGGCTGAGTGCCCCAGGGAAAAACACCTTGTCTGGATATTGCATGGAACAAGGCATGGAGAGGTGCTAAACTGCTCACCCAGCAGCACACGGCAGAAGAGTTTCATGGTCAGAGCTACAGCCCAGCTGCTGGTGCCACAGAGGTGCAGAAACCTGAGCAGGAATCCCAAGTTCCCAAATTTGGCCTCAAGCACTGACATTAGGTACTGGGCCTTTAAGAACAGTGTTTTGGAACATAAATATACAGATAGATTATTTTTTTTATCAAGATATAAATTTTCCTTAGAAGGGTTACTTTGTTCTTTTATTATCTGTACATGAACTATGCAGGGCATTTGTTTAGGATCTGTAAAAATCTGTTTCCCATAAGCAGCTTGGCATTCTGTCTTTATTAGCTACAACTTTCATAGAGAAAACATTGTACTATCAAAAAGCATCATGATTACTTTAACTTTATCACACCAGGTGATTACAACTGAGATAATTAGAGGCTAATTTGAGAGGAGCCAAAGGGGAAGTGGAGCTAGAAGTTAATCAGTGTGCCCGTATTTAAATCAGGAGTGCACAGAGGTTGATTTTTAGCAGAGTTTTGCAGCTCAGACAGCTCCCCTTGAAGGACATAAGAAGGAAAAAAATGCATAGAAAGAGGTGGAGGAGAGAGGACAGGAAAGTGCCATGTGGGGAAGTGCACGTTTAACCTGCTGGGCTGAAGCCACCTTTCATGTGTGCAAGGCTCCCACCTTGGCCAGTGTGCTGCTCTCTCCTTCCCAAAAGCCAAGCGTGAGCCCAGTTCTGGGACAAGGAGCCCTTGAGCAGCTCCACACAGAGTATGCTGGAAAGGGCATTTCTCACTACCAGTGCTTCCAGGTGGGAGCCAGAGGCAGTGCTCTTTGAGAAAGATCTCAGAAAAGGCATTTTGCAAGTAAAAAAGTTTAAGACAAAATAAATTAAAAAAAGTTTAAAATAAAATTTTAAAATAAAAAATAAATTTGCAAAATAGAGCTCTGGCTCAGATATTAGGGAAAGGTAATTTTGAGGCACAGGAGGAGTCATTTGAATCAGAGCAATGGCTGCCGGAGGGCAGATTACATCCTGCAAGCTCTTTCCAGAGCAAGGTTGTTTCTCTCGCTGAGTATGCCCAGAGAACAAGATGCCTTACCACCATCTCACCACCACTACCACTCTGGGGAGAAACAGGGAGACATGAGCCTGTACCACACTAGTCAAGCTGTGCTGCTTCCAGCGTTCTTGCCGGCTCAAGCGCCTCCTCATAGCTCTATGTTATAGCACACATGTACCCCTTTGCTTTGTCCAACATAACTCACTAAAACATCCAACTATGACAGCTCCTGTGCAACCGCTGAAAGTTCTCTTCCCTGCCATCAGATACAGTAGGAACTAAGCCCTGGCATTCTTGTTGCTGTTGGGCAGACCCCTTAGAAAAGCTTGGGGGATGTGGATCCATTTAATCTGCCTGGCTGTGTGTTAGGAAATATTTAGTAGAATATTTTTTTTTCCACCATCACCTTCTCAGAAAAATGGGTCGTTTGCTTTGCCAGAATAACTTACAACAGGTCAGTGCGTGAAATAAGCTATTACCAGTAAAAGC